TGATTGGCTGCGCTGTGGAGGCTTCTCATTGGCTGAGCTGTGGAGGCTTCTCATTGGTTGAGCTGCAGTGTTTCTGATTGGCTGCGCTGTGGAGGTTTCTCATTGGCTGAGCTGCAGAGGCTTCTCATTGGCTGAGCTGTGGCATTTCTGATTGGCTGGGCTGTTGCCGGGTGGAGAGAGAGATCTTCCTTCAGCAGTCCATTAGTTTTACTTCCTGTTGGAGATGCCAGCACCCTCTCCTCCCTTTTGGTGTGATTGAAGACGTGTGATGGGTGTAGAGCTCCCCCTGCAGGCCCTTCCCATCCACCTTAGCAGAGGTTTCCATTATTAGTTTCCACAGTATTGAACCCAGTCCAGTCTCCTCTACTCCCTGACCTCTTTGCCGTCTTAACCCCTTACTCTCTGGCTGGTCAGTTTTAAGTGGCATCTGTACGAGTTTCCTCTTGTTGCTGCAAAATATTACCACAAACTGTGGCTTAAAAACCATGCAAATTTATTATCTTACACTTGTGGAGGTTAGCAGGCTAAAATGTGTTGCCAGGGCTGCATTCCTTCTGGAGGCTCCAGGGGAGAATCTGTCTGGTTTTTTGCCTTTTCCAGCTTGGAGAGCTGGAAACATTGCTTGGCTCATGGCCTCTTCCTCCATCTTCAAAGCCGGAAACTCAGCCTCCTCTCTCCTCTCTGACCTCCTGACTCCCTCTTATAAGGACCCTTGTCATTACATGGGACCACTTGCGTAATCTAGGATAATCCCCGTATCTCAAGATCCTTAAATTAATCACTCCTGCAAAGTCCCTTTGCCAAATAAGATGGCATATTCACAAGTTCTGGGTTAAGACATGGACATCTTTGGGGACATTATGCTGTCTACCACACGGGGATTAGGACGTGGACATCTTGGGGCCATTATTCTGTCTACCATGTGGGGATTAGGAAGTGGATGTCTTTGGGGACGTTATTCTGTCTACCACACGGGGATCAGGACGTGGACATCTTGGGGCCATTATTCTGTCTACCAGACTGGAATTAGGATGAACATCTTTGGGGGGACATCACTCTACTGACCACAATATCCTTTACTCCCACTTGTTACCCAAATGGGAGTCAATCATTTTATTCTTCTTTCCTTCTTTTTTTCACATTCTTCCCCCATTTTTAAAAGTTTCATTCTTTATGCTTTGTCAGAACTTGTCACTTTTGCATACTTCTCTTGTACCACATCTCCATCCTTCTTTTTGACTTGGTTCTACTGTTAAATCTATCACACGAATTTGAAGTTCGTGGTCTTCTGCACCTCCTAGTAGTGCTGAAGGTCTGGGTCACCCGTGGTTTGTTTGTGCTCTTGGTTGATCTTGTGGATTTGGGGGAGGAAGCTGTAGAGATTCTAATTAAGGTGGCACCATTCTCCTGCAGTCAGAGCTCTCTGTTGATTTAGCTCCACGTTTTCATCTGAGAAGGACAATCACAGTGGGGTGGCTCCATCTAGAGCGAACGAGTGAGCTGAAACATAGTGGAGAGGTTTTCTGTACCCAGCGAGCTCCACAGCTATGATGGAGAAGTTGAAATGTTCACCCAATTAACTCACAATCGGCCATTAGCTCTAAGCAAGGGAAGAGATTTGTGTGTGTGTGTGTGTGTGTGTGTACTTTCCCACCACAGAATGTCATTCTCTTCTTTTCATCTTATTGCTCAGAGGCAACAAGAGGAGAATAGGAGAATGTGAGTTGTACATGTCACAGAGAAGGGGTCCATAGTTCTCTTTTCTTTTGTTTGAGAACAAACATTTGAGCCCACCAGAGCCACCAGAAGTTCCTCCCAGTTGAACCCACCAGAACTACCAGGAGTTTCCTTATTCACCTAGTTTCTGGAGTGCGTGTGGCTTAGATTGGAGTTTTTCTCAGCCAGGGTGGGGAGAGAGTCTGTGTCCCGTATTCATTCATTCATTGGGCTCAACTTTGAATGGATGTTGGTTCCTCCCCGCACATCCCTCAAGCCACGTCCGGAAGTAACTTTATTTTAAATCTACAGATAAGATGATATATCGCCCATTTTCCCAGCAGAAATGCAGAAGGTATTGAGACAAGCATGTTCTGCCAAGTCTTTGACCTGCTCCTTGAGATGGGATATGGCTTGACCTGTTGGTCACCAAGGGTCCATGTGGAGGAGTTACTCAGGCAACTGAAGATATGGTCCTAGAGCTGTTGGGGAGGCTCACCCAGGAGTCAGAGTGTTGATGAAGGTGTGTCCACATGGATGGATATAGTGGGAGCAAAGACGGAGGAGGAAGATGACCACATGAGAGTCACGGACTTGGTCAAGAACCAAGAAGACCTACAAGACTACAACCGACTTTAGAGAAGGAATTAATGGGAAGAATGTTGGGCAGTTTACACGCTCAGTGGGAAGCCTGAAGAACTAGTCTCAGAGAATGGCACAGACTGCAAGGAAGGGGCGTGGCAAGAGTTTGACAAGCCACCATGGACTCTGGGGCCATGGTTGCTGCCATGAAGAATTTCTCCTCCAACCTGATTTGCATCATTCTCTCAAGATTCCAAGAGCTGGGCAGAGAGTCCCCTTTCCTGGACAGTCTGAATGCTGGGACACTGGGAGGGAGAATGTCGCCCCGCAAGAATGCTGAAGAGGGAGGTGGGGCTGGCTCCCACCAAGACTTGCCAAGTGGGAATGACCCCAAGATAAGGGTCCGCATTCTGGCCAGACAACTTTGCAAAATGCAACACAGTCATCTATGGGGAATGGGGAATTGAGTTCGGAAAGAAAGCAGAAGACCGTTCCATTTGGAGGGTGCATTGCTGGAGCCTCAGGAAGGATTTCAACCATGGTCAACAGGACCAGCCCGTGGGAGAGGAATATGGGATTTGTAACAACCATGAGGTGGGGTCATTGTGGACACAAATCAGCCAAAGAGAGGACCAACTACTGGCTGAGGGTGGATAAAGCACGGAGGGAGAAAGCGTCAGCAGTTGACACGTAGGGGGCTTGTGTTGAAAAATGGTGCTGAAGATCGCTCATTGGCTGCGTTTATTCTTTGCTGAATATAAACTAGAATCTCATAGACCTGGTGGCACTTGTCTTCAAGGGAGTAATAAACCATAGTTAATATCATTACGGGAGAAAGCCCATACAAGAGCGTATTACCACCTTCCAGAACTCAACAATACCTTCCAACTCTAGGTGCAATGTTTGTGCAACTTTGCAGACCAAAAAACTCCCCCTCAAAACCCACAAAGCAAAACTTTTGTTTTGACCAAATGCAGGGAAGCTTGGAATTCTCCCAGGCTGGCCCTTTTCCGAGTTATGAGCAGAAAAAGTTTGGACACTTTTCAGAAAAGTCAGAAACATTAATTTTTCAGACCTTTCTGAGTCAAACATGGCTCGTCCAATTTGCTTCAAACTTCCCAGCCCGAGAGGCAGCTGGAGAACTTTCCGGACAAAGGAGGTGGTTTGTCAGAGTCAGAAGGAGGTCAGAAGAGGGCGGTCCGTGCCGAGGAGGCGAGAGCCCGGGACCGGGATCCTGGCAGGTGTGTGTAATTAGTGGGCGCCCTCTTGCCAACACGGGGTGACAGGTGCGCAGTGTGGTGACTGTGTGGACACAGGGCGTCCAAGGAGAGGCCAGCCCCGTGGATGCTCTCGACTCAGGAGAGGGAGGAGGGAATGAGTTAGGAAGGAAATATGGGCTTACTCCATCTTTTCCAAAGCACTTCTGGGTTATGCTACAAAATCTCATCTCCAGGAAGAACGGGGGATCTGGGATGATGGGGGCAAATTAGCAATTTTTAGAATTTAATTTGTGACCAGGGAGGTCCGGCACCTGGTGAAATATTAATACCCGAAGAGAGCCCGTCATCTTCTGGATTCTCTCTCTGCCCCTTTGAGATCCGGCCAGATGCAAGCCGTGCCCCTTGATTTACTGATTTCCAGCAGCATTGATATTGTGGGGGGAGGGGACCCCCACTTTCTGCTCAGAAGAGCCTTTTGTTTTGCCTGTTGCTGAGATAACTGGCTCTTATCTCTTGCTCTGGGGTTTATTCGGGGTCAGAATCCTTTGGCGATTTGGTGCAGTTGGTTGAAAATGTCGTGTGTCCACAGGCAGGCACAGACTTCCATTTCTGCGGACAGCAGATGCCTGGGGCTGACCCATCGTGGAGCAGAGGCGAGGGGCCGGGGACCGCATGACAGCCTTCCTCCTGGCTGTTGAAGTCACTATTGAGTTTCTTTTGTTTTTTTAAAAATTTTTTTATAAAACATGCAATCAACTATTTTAAAGTGAACAAGTCAGGGGCATTTAGCACATCCACAATGTTGTGCAAGCATCCCCTCTGTCTAGTTCCAGAACATTCTCATCATCCCAAAAGGAGACTCCAAACCCATTAATCAGTATCTCTGCATTCTTCCTCTCCCCAGCCCCTGACAATCACTAATCCACTTTCTGTCTATGGATTTACTTATTCTGGATGTTTCATATAAATGGAATCACACACTGTGTGGCCTTCTGTGTCTGGTTCTCTCACTGAGCATCATGTCCTCAAGGTCCATCCATGTTGTAGCCGTGTCAGTGCTTCACTCCTGTTCATGGCTGAGTAATATTCCACTGCATGGATGGACCCCACGGTGTTAATCCATTCATCCATCATTCACCCATCGCTGGGCATTTGGGTTGTTTCCACCTTTCGGCTGTTGTGAATCATGCTGCTATGGACACGCATGTGCAAGTTTCTGTGTGGACAATATTTACATTTTTTATTTTTAATCACTGTAAACCCCTTGTCAGGACTTGGTAGACTTGAGGGAAATCCTGCTAAGGTTGTGGGAATTGTGACCTCAAATGGTCCCAAATTGTGTTGGCTGGTCTTGAGTGACGGGAGGTTTGGTCCAAGCCAACTGAGTCACTGACGCCTCCTCCCGGATCAGCCACAAAGGGTCTGTTCTTCTTCCTCTGTGTTGAGATACGGCCGTGCTTTGGCTCCTTGCCCTGGGAAGAGGTGGTGACAACCGGTAAATGCAGACCTTATTTTAGCAGAACCACTTTGATTTGCATGAACTGAAAAGGAGTCTATAGTATCCACTCTGGGACCCCAGAGCAGAGGGGTCTTCAGCCTCCTTACATAGGAGAGAAGCTCTGTCAACATCGCACGGGGGCCTGCTCACTTTTCCTTTAAGACAGAGCCAGGCATCTCATCTGCATTTGTTCTTGGAGGATTAAAATTTAACCAGATGCCACTTTTTCATTTTCTGGGGCCGCTGTAACAGAGGACGACAAACTGGGAGCTCAGAACAGTGGGAATTCATCCTCCGCAATCTTGGAGACCAGGAGTCTGAGATGAAGGGGTCACAGGGCCGTGCTCCCTCCACAGGCTCCAGGGGAGGGTCCTTCCTGCCTCTTCCAGCGTCTGGGGCTCCAGGCGTCCCTGGGCTGGTGGCCGCCTCCCTCCATCTCTGCCTCCATCTCCACGTGGCTTCTCCTCTGTGTCTATGTCTCCTCTTCTGTCTCTGATGAGGACACTGTCACTGGATTTAGGGCCACCCTCCTCCAGGACGTCCTCATCTCCATCCTTCACTCAATCACACCTGCAAAGAACCCTGTTTCAAAACAAGGTCACATTCCCAAGTTCTGAGTGGACTCGCATTTTTTGGGGGGTGGGGACGACTATGCAACCATTTAAAGGGAGACTCTGGTGTCCAGTCTTGTGTGGGCTCTGCAGAAAAGCCGATAACTGTCCATAAAGTGGAGAAAGGCCCGGCCATTGTGCTCAGGATATCGCAATCCGCATTCCTTTTCACGATGGCAGGATTCACATTCCTGGGTTAGCAGCGAGAGCTTTTGAAGAGGCCGTGTGGCTTCCGGAACATGAGATGGTTCCCAGGAAACATGTGGATGAACTCAGCATAAACAAATGAAAACCAGATGAGACAACATTTCCATTAGAAGGCCGGGGTTCAGAAATGGAAGGGGCGGCTTGCCAGCCTGCACTGGGGTTCTGGAGAGGAGGCCGGGGGCTCTGGGGCCGTCCCAGTGCCGGGCTGGGGGTCAGGAGGGGGCTGTTTGAAGCTACTGGGGGCCGGGGGGTGAGGAGACCTGCCGTCACCGCCGTCCCATTGCACGTGGGACTGTGGGCTTCGTCCGCGTCTGAGGGGGCTCACGTGTGGGATAATTGGAAAAATGCAAAGTCTTCGTTGCGTTCTTAACGGCAGGCTTTGGAAGGAAATTTAGGATTTTTGTTTTGACTGCAGTTTCTCTGCCTTCTCCCTCCCTCTCTGTCTGTCTCTCTCCCCTCCCCTCCCTCTCTCTTTTATTTTCACCCGCATCCCTCCCCGTCTTTCTTCCTTTCTCTGTTCACTTGGACAGGCTTTTTTCCCCACCTTTTGGAGGTACAATTGATGAGTTAAACTTGTGCATATTTAGATGTACACGTGATGATTTGATAAACGCGGCCATTGTGAAATGATCACCACAATCGAGCTGTTAACACACCCGTCACCTCCCACGTTTACCATTTGGGGATGGGATGAGAACATTTCAGATCCACTCTCCTAGCAAATTTTAAGTGTACAACGTAGTATTGTTAACTAGAGTCTCTGTTAGATCCCCGGAACTTAGTCCTCTTCTAACTGGAATTTGTAACTTCAACCAGCATGTCCCCATCTCCCCACCTCCTCGCCCCTGGCAGCACCCTCTCTATTCTCTGCTTCTCTGAGTCTCACTATTTCAGATTCCACATATATGTGAGATCATGCAGTATTTGTCTTTCTGTGTCTGGTTTATCTCTCTGAGCCTAATGTCCTCCAGGTCCCTCCATGTCATCACAAATGGCAGAGTTCCCTTCTTTTTCTTGGCTGTATAATATTCCATCTCTTACAAACCTCCCCTCCCTTCCCTGAGCTTCCGGTTACCCTGCTGTGTCCGTTAAAGTGCTCCACACTGTGGGTTTCGTAGGTGTGGGTTCATCTTACCCCCTGGTTGTTGAAATAACTTGTCTCTTGGACTCCACACCATGGGGGCCACACCTCCGTCTGGAGGGGACGGCAGCTGTGCTTCAGTGTGGGGCCCCCTATTTGTCATGGGTCACCTTTCCCCTCCTGGGAGGCGAGGCCACATCCCCAGACACGCAGCTGCCAGAGGCTGGTGCACACACGGGTAGCAACATCAGACCACCTGGCTGGTCTGTTATATCTGCCACCTCGGGTCCCCTCTCCCAGCCCGGGACCCCAGAATCTGTGCTTTTGGTGTGTTCCCAGGTGACTCTGCTGCTGGCTGGGTTTGGCTCATGCCCCCTCCCCCTGCACCTGAGTCCATCCGTTGCCGACCTGTGTTCACCTTTGGCTCAGCTGGGCTCTTCTCTCCAGGTGGACGGAGCCTCCGGGAGGCGGGTTCCGAATCAGGTGTGCATCTCGTCACTCCAGGGCCTGGGTGGGCCTGGCCTTCTCTCTCGGGGCCCCAGTTTCCACGGGGGTGAGGACCCGACCTGCTTTCCCGCACACACACCTGTTCAATCCTTCGTCCCTCTGTGCTCATCGGCAAGGCCAGCTCATCTGATGCTGGGCACACAGGGCCATTAACTAGAGGTCCCGGCGATGTGCAGAGCATCCTGTGTCAGCCGGGCTGAGGCTTCTGCCACGGAGCCCTACGCCAGAGGAGAATGGTGATTTTTACACTTGGGTTCTCCTGGAGTTCCCCCTCCACGGCATGGCCTGCCCTGAGCTGGCTGGTCTCCCTCTCACCTTCACATCCATCCTGTCTGGGCCTTGGACGTGGATGCGATCAAGTCTCCACGTGGGAGGTGACTCCTCCTGGACCCACTGTGCAGATCTCCCTCGTGCCCACTGTGCTCTCCGTGCCCAGGGCCCCGATTCTGCAGACCCTGGTGGCTCTGGCCCCGAATATCGGATCCCCCCCCAGGACCTGCTGCCTTGGCACGTGGGTGGAATTCTGGGCTGGCTTGTTTTGGGAGCCCTGACCAAGGAGATGTGATGGGGCATCCTCATGTCAGGGTGATGATGTCTGAACCTTTGCTCTAATGAGAAATGGGAGTCCCTGGGCAGGGGGCCCCCAATACCAATGCTGGTGGGACACGGTGCCCTTACATGGTTTAGTGGGCTGAAGAGTGTCCCGCCAAATTAATGTCCACTCAGAATGGGACCTTACTTGGAAATGGGGTCTTTGCAGATGTGATTAAGTGAAGGATGGAGATGAGGGCGTCCTAGATGAGGGAGGCCCTAAATCCAATGACAGTGTCCTCATCAGAGACAGAAGAGGAGACACAGACACAGAGGAGAAGCCACGTGGAGACGGAGGCAGAGATGGAGGGAGGGGACCACCAGCCCAGGGACGCCTGGAGCCCCAGAAGCTGGAAGAGGCGGGAAGGACCCTCTCCTGGAGCCTGTGGAGGGAGCACGGCCCTGTGACCCCTTCATCTCAGACGTCTGGTCCCCAGGACTAGGGGAGGGTGGATTCCTGTGGTTCAAGCCTCCTGGTTTGTGGTCCTTTGTTGAGGCTGCCGCAGGACCTTCATACAGGTGGGGAGTGAGTGTGAAGGAGAAACTCAGTCTGTTGTTCTGGCTCATCTTGCGGGGTCAGCAGTGAAGTTCCTGGAGAGGGCCCTATGGAGAAACCCCAGGGAAGCGGTTGGTCAGTCAGGATGGCTTCAATGGGGGAAGGTGACAGGCCCAGCACACACACCCATGTAGGTGTCAGAGGTTGTGGGATGCCCTGCCGAGCCCAGGGGTCTGATTGGGGGCTCTGTATGGTGCACCAAGGGGGACTCCAAGGAGACAGGGCCAGTGAGACTTGTAGCCCACGACAGGGTCAGAAAGCTGCTGTCTGAACTGGGTGTCACCTGGAATGACTGGGTAACTTGACCTCCCTGAGCTAAACTGTGATCTACGGGCACAAGCGTTCCTTGGAATCTGGATGAGAACTCTGTGCTTCTCTGCCCTCAGGTGACAACACTGAGAAGGACATTTCTCTTCATGCTTTGAAGGACGTGTAGGAAATCATTTCAACCATGTTTCTTCCTATAGTCTTACTAGGACTTAAGTCAGTTAAATCAAAGGAGAATGTTAGATCATTGATTCACTTGCTCACTCAAAAAAATGTCGATTGGGTATTTACTGTGTCCCAGGCATAGGGTGCTGGGGACTCAGGCGCTCATGGGGATATTGTGGCTACTGCTGTTTTGGAAGAGAGGGGATATGACACTCACCAGTCATGCTAAGTTCCATGCTAAGTTCTGGGGGGCTCTGTGGGAGTTCCCTCTCCGTCCATCCATCTATCCATCTATCCATCATCTATGTATCCATCCATCCAATTCATCTCTCCATCCATCCATCATCCATCTGTCCATCCACCCATCATCTATCCATCTATCCACTCATAATCCATCCACCATTCACCCACCCAATCCATCCATCCACCCACTCATTCATCCACCCATTCATCCATCCATCCATCCATCCATCCATCCATCCATCCATCCATCCATCATCCATCCATCTATCCACTCATCATCTATCCATCTATTCATCCATCCATCCACCCATCCACCCATTCACCCACCCATCCACTCATCATCTATTCATCCATCCACCCATCTACTCATCCACTATTCACTCAACCATTCATCTATCCACTCACTCATCAATCCATCCATCCATCCACCATCCATCCATCCACCCATCTATCCATTGTCCATTCTTCCATCCATCAATTCACCCATCCACTCATCATTTATCCATCCATCCGCCCATCTACTAATCCACCATTCACCCATCCATTCATCCATCCACTCACTCATCTATTCATCCATCCATCCACCACCCATCCATCCATCTACACATCCATTCATCCATCAACCCACCCATCCACCATCTGTCTATCCATCATCCATCCATCCATCCCTCCACCCACCCGTCATCCATCCATCTGTTCATCCATCATCCATCTACCCACAAATCCTTCCATCCATTCATCGATCCACCCATCCATCCAACATCTATTGAGTCACTAAATCAATGAGCCACAGTCCATGCCTTCAAGGCATTCAGAGTTTCATCTTTAGGCCCTACATAAAGGTACCTCTGTTTGAGATTCTTGCAGAATAGTTCTTGTCTTCCTGAAAGGATACATTTTGGTATTTGCTGTCTGTTCTGCTGCTTTATGAGAATAACTTCTGTCATAATGGTGGCGCGATTAGCTCCAGGCTGAATGGCTGTCACTAATGGACACTAAAAGCCTCGCCTCTTTCTAACCCCCCACCAAAAAGAGGAGAAAGGCATCATGGCCTTGCTTGAAAGTCTCTTATTTCATATACCTTTCCATTAAGGCACCATCTTCCTTCCCAACTTACCCCTCCTTCTCCTGAAGGCCCATCTTGATTAGTGACATTGTCATTGTCACCATCCCTCCAATTGCCAGGATTTTGGGATTCCCCCTGGATTTGTTTGTCTGCTTTGTCCCTCCATTCAGCACTCACCAAGTCTTGCTGACCTTCCTCCTTTGTCTCCTCTTGGCTCTGTCCACCCCCCTCTACTTTCTCCGCCACGCCCTTCATTCGGAGACTCATCTCAGCTCTGCTGGATTTCCATGATGGCTTCCTAGCTGGGCTCCTTGCC